GGAATCCGAAGCAGGCTCCAGGCTCCAAGCTGTCAGCACAGAGCCCGACGTGGGGCTCGAACTCACAAACTGGAAGATCATGACCTGAGCTAAAGTTGGACATTTGGCCGACTGAGGCATCCAAGCACCCCTGAATTTTTTAAAAAATTTTTTATTTTAAGTAGGCTCCACACCCAATGTGGGGCTCGAACCCTGAGATTAAGATTCGCATGCTCTAGCAGCCGAGCTAGCTGTGCACCCCTCTACTTTAAAAAATTTTTTTATTGACATTGATACTTTTATATTGCTCGATTCTGAACCAGAGAAAAGTATTACCCGTTCAAAACACTTTAACAAAAAAAGACACATCCTCCCCACTCAGAGAAGCCCACCTTCTGGCTCTGGGCCTCCCCAGACCCTCCTCGGGTCACGCTTGTCAAAATGCCAGTGGGCTCTCAGAGCACGATTCGTTCCCTGCCTCGGAAAGGCTCCACAGCTAATGCACAGGGCACTAGTGGCTCCCAGATGGAATGATCTAAGCGGTAATTAATGGCTGTTAGGACGCAGCCCCCGGAAAGCTTCCCCCACAGACGCCAGCCCTTCCATTTACACAAAACGCTAAGCAGAGACTGTCGGGAAGCCGGTTCTTCAACTCTTTCAAACCTTCCTTTGGAAACACCTGTACCTTAGGAACGCAGTGGCCCTGGGTGTGGGCCCCAGCTCTGCAAGGTCTGACCCTTTACCTTAGATTTGAACAGCAAGTCCTCTTTGGTCACCTCCCCTATGGAGTCAAGGTGAGGGCAAAGGTCCCTGGAGTCCCCCATGCTGGCCTGGGCTCACCTACAAGAGAACACAGGGAGCCTGGGTTAACGGCAGCCATCTCTAGAGCGAGGCGGGGGCTGCTGGTGCAGTGCACAACTTTGGTCTCAGGTCCTGGCTCTGCCACATATCAGCCAGTGAGTCGAGGAAGCCACTTAACTTCTCCAGGAATTGGGTGTGACAGTAACGCTCAGGGGACTCACAAATGGGTACGTGTCAAACTGGCGACACGTGAACAGGCCCTGTGGATTGTACCAACAGTCCCTTTAGTGGTTGTGACGTCGTACTACGGATACGCCAAAGATGTGGCACCCCTGGGGGAAACTGAGTGAAGGGTACGTAGGACCTCCCTGGGACATCCGTGGCGACTTCCTATGAATTAACAATTATTCCCGAAGAAAATGTATAAAAACAAGTAACTGGATTGGCTTCAGCCACCTCATATTTTAGCAGAAATCACACCGAGGAATCTGACGGCTGATTCTAGCTCCAAACCGTTGCCAAGAAAGTTCCGGGCCAACCGAAGATTTAGTGGAGCCAAGGTGGTTTAACCAAAGGCAGGGGCGGTGTGTCCACTGAGGGAAGTGGACCCCCACCCTCTCCCTGAAATGGTCAGCCAGGGGTCCACTGGCCCAGGCCCCCCACCAGATCAGGTGTTACGGGTGCCGATCAAGTTCCGGGTGGCAGAGTAAATGGTTTCCGTGCGTTATTTCTTGGAAAACGTCCCCAGGCAGCTGTGATCAGCCCCGTTTTACAGATTCGGAAACAGGGGCTCCTTCTTGTCTCAGGTCTCACAGCGAGGAATGCTAGAGCCAAGGCGGAAGCTCGAGCTGCTCAGACTCTTACGGCCTCACGTGTATTCTCTCTCCTTTTAACTTAGGGCAGTGGAAACACGCAGAAGCAGACAGCTCGCTCCCACGCGCCGGCACCCAGCTCCAACAGGGAGCCATTCACAGCACCCTTGCTTCAGCTCAAACTCCCACTTCCTCTTTTTGGTGGCAGACCCAGATACCGCCTCATTGCATCTGTGTGTGCTCTTAAGAGATAAGGACTTGAAAAAAGGAAAAAAAACAACCCAAAACCACAATTCCGTTATTTCACCTGAGACAATTTCCTCTTGGGTCCGTGCTTAAGGGCTACGCCTGAAACGGGGAGGCTGTGGGCCTACCTCTGTGCACAGCGACACCCCCAGGGAGCGGCCAGCATCTGTATTCTCCGCGGACAGCCGATGGTGGTGGGGCGCGAGGGCTGGAGTGAGTGCAGGCCTCTGGCAGGGAACCTGCGGGGAACAAACCAGCTCACTTCCTGCAGCTCCATTATCTTAAAGTCACTCTTAGCGCTGACCGGCGGCTACAAAGAGGTCGGAATTCCTCCTGGGAAGGGCAAGTGAAATTTTGGACATCTGGGGCATCCGCGGGCTGGACAGGCTCCCAGTCCATCCACGGGGACCATAAAAACACACTGCTCCGGGGTAGCTAACGAAGGCTGGTGTGGAGCTGGTATAGGTAGGGGCAGCCCCTCCTCGGGGGTCGTGATCCCCGAGAGCAGAGACCCGCAAGGGTCTGCACGAGAGGGCCGCGGGCCTCTCTAGTTATTGCCTTGGCTGCCACAGCCCGTTAACCTCCTGGACAGAAGGCTCAGCCCGTTCCGTGCACGCCCCTGGGACCCTCAGATCATCCTCGGATCCCCTGCTGCTCAGAACCTCTTGGATCCATCACCCACAGGATCCTGTGCTGCTCAGAACCTCTGACCCCCGAGTCTTGAGCAACCCCAGGCCAGAGGCACAACTGAGTCCATTCATGTGTCATCACCGACTGCACCTCCCCAACCCTGCTAGGCCACAGTCTCCCAGACATGGGTAGTTCAAAGAGGGGGAGGCAGTTAGAAGCTAACATTTAAAATGGTCACATGGCAACGACGGGTTCAAGGTTCTAAATTCCAAGCCTCTTCACCTGAAGCCAGATTTTTTAGGGTTTTTTTTTTTGTTTTGTTCTCACTGAGGTCAAGTGCACCAGGTTGGCAAGCTGCAGTATGGGGGCAGGAGGGGGGCAGGGGAGGGAGTGGCTTTGGTGTGTGTGCCCCCCGTCTCTCCAGAAAGATGGCAGAGCCAGCTTATGAGTCTGACACCCAGGGCCACAAATGGAGCCCGGGACAAGGACACTGGTGACAAGCCTGTCTTGATTCACATGTGCAATGAGACCATTCAAGCTCCTCTGTCTTCAGATAGGGGAGGGAAAAAAAGCAAAGCCCAGTGGGTAACAACCCTCCATGCACCCTCACTGCCCCCGTGCTACAGAAGAAACAGAACAGATTGCTTAAGGAAGCGAGAGACTTGGCCAGAGTCAGTCCTCAGCTAGTAAGTCGTGGGTGGGGACTCAATCAGACTGTCTGTTGCAGGGCTGTGCTCTAAATCAGGGGTTGGCAAATCATGTCTATAAAGTACCAGGCAGTAAATCATTTAGGCTTTGTGGGCCCTGTGGATCTTTATCACATATTCTTTGTTTTTGTTTTTTTACAATGTGTTAAAGATTTTTTTTTTTTTTAATTCTTAGCTTGAGGGCCTTGCAAAAACAATGCTAGCCCGCTGCCACAGTTTGCTGCATCATGCCCTAACTCGCTGTGCTGTTGGGGCCTCATAAAAACAAGCCCGGATCACCAAGATTCCATGTTTCACCGAACACAAAGCACTAGTTTAAATAAGGCAGGTAGCAAAGAAGAGCCAAGAGGGTTCACCTGGCCCCAGGTTTTTTTCTAAGTAAGTGTTCAGGATGCATGCAAAGATGGACTGACAAAGATATGCACTGTTTATAATGGGGGAACTGGATGCAATGTAAATAAACAACAGGCGGTTAGATAAACAAGGACACAACCACACTCTGTCAACGGCACAGCCATTAAAAATGATACATATTGAATCTTCCTATCCGTGAAATTAAGTTAGATCTAAATACATGGAGAGATATACCATGTTCATGGACTGGTACACTCAACACTAAGATATCCACTGTGCCCAAACTGGTCCATAAACTCAATGTAATCTTCATCAAGATCCCAGGAAGCTTTCTTGTAGAAATCATCAAGCCAACTTGAAAGTTTATACAGAAAAGAAGACCTAGAAGAGCCAAAACAATTTGGAAGAATCACAAAGTTGGAAGACTGAGGCCCTCTGGCCTAAGAATTTCTATAAAGGTTCAGCAAACAAGTCAGTGTGGTGTTGGCTCAAACACAGACATACAGCTCAAGGGAAAAGAAGTGAGAGTCTAGAATTAGACCTGCACATATGTGGTCAACTGATTTCCAAAAAGGGTACTGACAGAATTCAACCAGCAACAGACAGTCTTTTCAACAGAGGCTCTCCATATAGGGAAATAAATGACCTTTAACCCCTACTGCATATCATCCACAAAACTTACTTAGAAATGGATCACAGCCTTCCTGTAATTGGTGGCCAACAGAAAGCTTAAAAAGAGCTTCCCTTTCCTCTTGTTCTTTCCCAGGGTTCTGGAAGAGTCAGGTTACTCTAAAATGTGTTGTTGATGGACTCCCAGTGCGTGTTCTCATGTTCAAACCGACAACATTCCCCCCCCCCCCCAATTCTTTCTCCTCTAGTCTTTCATTTGCTCGTGGCACTGCTGGGGCTCAGCTTCAGAGTCCTTCGGTTTTCGACCTTTTTCTCCGGCTCTCATCTCAAACACCTGCTGCACCTGCAGCTCCTTCTTCACCTTTAGCCACACACTCTCCCTCCTTCCACTCATGCCCCGAGAGCTCTGGGTAGGCTGCCCTTTGCTCTTGGTGCCCGCTCCACTAACAGACACAGCTGCCGTTTCCTGCTTCTGCACGTGTCTGGGCATACGTGATCAGTGACATCTTTCAAGCCTTGCACACGTGTTGTCAACCTACTTCTTAGAACTGCAAAACCTCAAACATCACCATTCTCAGCTCCAGCAGCACGCAAGGATGCCGCCTTCCTCTGACCCTCCTGCAGTTAACTCCTCTCACGTCATCACGCCCTGCCATAGCAGGAGGTAAACAGTCCTTTGGGTTGTTAACAAGCTTTCCTTCTTCTCCACCTTCTGCTTCTGGAAATTCGTAGGTTTTCTTTTTATGTGCTTGGATTTATCTGTTTTTTAAACCCTTGGCACACCTCTGGTGTGAGCATGTCTGCTCTCGGCAATAAGTGGGATGACGTTCACTTTTTCATAAACCCAGCGTCCAATGGTTTAAGTCCGTGTCTTCAAGGGGCAACACCGCACCCTGTTATCAGGCTTCCGATGTCTGTGGACTAGACACTCCCCGCTTAGGGAGACTTCCCATTTACTATCGACATAGTCAATAATGGACTACCAGCAACGACCTCATCAGCTACATCTCCAAACCCTGGGGTATCAGCTATTGGGGGCGGCAACTGAACGCCACCTTCTTTGATTAAAACTCTGGACTGTTCCAGTCTTTTTTATTTTTTTTATTAAAAAAAAATTTTTTTTAACCTTTATTTTTGAGACAGAGAGAGACAGAGCATGAACGGGGGAGGGTCAGAGAGAAGGAGACACAGAATCCGAAGCAGGCTCCAGGCCCTGAGCCGTCAGCACAGAGCCCGACGTGGGGCTCGAACTCACGGACCGCGAGATCATGACCTGAGCCGAAGTTGGCTGCTTAACCTACTGAGCCACCCAGTCGCCCCGTGTTCCAGTCTTTTTTATTCTGTGGGAAGGACCTGGATGCTCTGGAGAATACAAATACGTGAGGAAAAGCTGTTGATGAACGTCTGCATTCCCAATCGAGACTCGCCTACAGCCACAATGTGAGTTCGAGCCCTCTGCCCACCGATTTTCGGTATGCTTGGTTTGGGAGCTTTGCAAACCTCGCAGAGCCTTCGAGGTCCGTCTGTGGAACCACCACGGTGCCCCTGTGGACGTGCCTCCCTCTGCAGGGGTGGGACCGCGCCGACCCACATCCCCGAGCCCGCGGCAAGCGGCCCGGCGCGGCCCAGGCCGACGGTTCTCCC